TGTTCCTAGGAAGAAGGATTGGCGGAAATTTTTCGGTGGCTGATGGAGATCTGCAAAGAAACAGACGTCACAAACAAAAAATATGAAAGTCTTAAGTAAAAACAACTAAGTGTTGACTCAGGGCTCTTACTCTTGCCCTCTGTAAGTGTTCGAGGAAGAGGGTAGAGGTGGACATCTTCATCTGGGCCAAATTCCCAATTTCCAAAAGCAATGAGAAAATCATCTCCAGCCCCCTTGTTGGAATCTGGGAGGTCGGCTATCATTTTGTACTGAGTGGATCTCAGCTTAAGGTAATAGACAAAACCCCTATCCTTCAGATCAAGAGGGCACATGGTATAACAATATTGAAGGTCGGCTAGGGTGATTCTAAGGTTTTCTTGCCTAGCCAAGGCTATAACACCGTTAATTACCCTATAAGAATTGATAGTAAGTTGCATGGGGTTCAGCTTATAGAAATGGAGAACTTGACGAAAAAGGGGATCAAATGGAAGCCGAAGTCCACATTCGGTAAAAACAACTATTGGAAAAGGCATTGTATGGTCTGTGGGCACGATGGTATCATTATCCCCAGCCAGCTTAAGATGAACGTCGGTTGGGATAGAAAATTCTTGCCTAAAGTATTCAAGTTTTGTTGGGGTATTTACCCTATGCCTCCACATACCCATTATGTCGGCTTAAACTAAGAGGAATATGTTTCAGGAGATGGGCGTTTTTCAGGTTTCCCTAAAGACTAAGGGTTTTTCAGACAAATCCCAAATCTATGAAGTATGAAGGTAAAAATCGAGGGCACAAATCTGGGGCAGATACAAAAAAGAGAAAGCAAAGACGAAGTTTCAGATTCAAGAATGGAAGTATAGTTCTCAGAAACAATAGAGATACAGAAACAAATCAAGAACAACGGTAAAGAGAATAATGAAAAAGCATAGAAGTCCAAGGCATAGTCACAAATTCAAGATACGAATAAATCCAAGACCTCGAATAAGGTCAGTAATGGCAACAGACAGACAAAAGCACATAAAGAGAATGGAAGAATTAAAGGAAAGGGTCTTACCAGGACAAATGAAGCCAAGGCAATGCTCGCCAAACCTAGAAATTGGTTGCAACAGCAAAGGAAGGCTTTGCAAGAGTAAAGGATTAAGAGTAAATTCCAGAAGAGAGATTGAAGCGATGGCAGATTCAAAGAAAAATGAGCTTTCAGAGAGAGAAAGAGCAAGAAGACGGAATGAAAAAGTGAAGAAGAGATAGAGGCAAAAGGAAAGTTTTGTCAAAAATGTGAAACGGCGGCAAAATTAGGGTAATCATTACGCCTAGGGTAACGCACGCGTCAGACGGCGCAGACGAAGTGAACAGACAGCTTCAGGCGCGTCACTGACACGCTCCAATAAAGACGAAACACGTAAAAAAAACAGTTAGATATGCATGACAGCTCGTGCGCGTGGGAGAGTACGACCGAAACCTTGTTCTCCGAAGAAAACACATCGGCTGAAAGTAGATGATCTTGGCCAAATAGTTTTTGGGCCATTACTCAGAAAAAGAAGTGACAAAATTTCGGAATAGGTTCCATCACCTCAGAATGCCGAAGTAATAGAACCTAGGGGGCAGTTGTGGGGATATATTTTCTGAATACCAGCACGTGGCATGGTGACGCCGACGTGTCAGCCGAGGTGCCACGTGCCCTGGTAGTTAAGCCGAGGTAATCTCGGGGAAGCCGAGGTAATCTCGGGGAAGCCGAGGTCATCTCCGAAGATATCGGAATCTGAGATAAGGGGCAAGAGTCCTAAGACGAAGAGGGGACTTAACCAAGATAAGGATAAAGCTCTAGATAAGGGACAAGAGTCCTAAGGCAAAGACGGGACTTAACCAAGATAAGGATAAAACTCTTAGGGAGTTTATCTTTATCTCTTGAAGAGTCCAGAGTAAACAGTAAATTGGAAGTTCATAGAAATCATACTTCTAGTGGGACTTGGATTGAGTATATTATAAAAGAAAGGCACCCCCGTGGGTCTAAGGTATGCAATTTATATTCTGAGTATTCAGTTTAGCACTTGATTATCTTTGAGAGATATACTGACTTGATCATCGGAGTGCCCCCGGGTGGAAGAACCACCGCCGGAGCTTTTTCTTTCTGTTTCAGGTTGCTTAAGCCATCTATTCTGCTTGTGCTCTCCAGCTGATCACTAAACGGGCAGTGTGGTCAGATTTTCACCCACACACATTGCATATGTATATTTGTTTGGGAGGAGAAAGGGGATGAACTCCATTTAAAGCAAATTGGCCAGAGTGTCCTGGGTGAAAGGCCCGAAATTTCATATATAAATGGGTGCCAATTCCTTCGGACAAAATATCCGTAAAATGACAGGTTTGAAGTGTTTATGTGTGTTTTGCATAGTTGGAAAACCATTGAGTTGTAGTCTCATTTTGGTTGTTCAAAGATAATGAATTTAACTCATGAATTGAGTAGCATATATAAACTGGAAATGAATTGAAGGAAAATGGAATGAGGTTCGGTCTTAGTGGCATATGAATATGCAGGCCTTGTGAATATTTTAGTATCGGTATTGTTTATGCACGTAGTATTTATACCTTTGCTAAACCTCATATATTGTATTAGATTATCTCTACTAGGCTGTTGGCTCACCCTATACGGGAATATTATTTTCAGGTGCAGGTGAGATGTTTCCTCCAAGGCAATAGCATGGATGGATTTTCGAGAAGCAAGAGCTTCTTATTTATGCCTTATGTGTGTATGTCTGTTATTTGTAAAGCCAAGGGCTTAAGATGTAATGAACGAGACTCAATTTGTGTAACCAAGCAATGACTTGGAAAGATGTAAGTCTACATGGCATTTAACTGGTTGTTAAACAGTGAACTCTAATATATGAAAGTATGTTGTTTCTTATATGTATTCCGCACATGAGTTATCTTTATTGTATTATTTGGGGGCGTTACATTTTTTAATCTACTTTATAAATTACAAAATTAATAATTTTAGAAAATTGATTAATTTGTCCCATTAAGTGTTTTAAAACTTTGATAGATATACATCAAAAAAAATAGATTATTATATTACTAAATCATAATTCAAATTTAGATGTTATATCTTTTTGAGATCCATAGCTAAATTCTTATCTTCTTTGTTTTTGTGTGTAACCATAGGGTATAAGAGAAATTGGAAAGGGTGTTGCAGTAATTATGAGAGAAGTCAAAAAGGTTTATGGGTTAGAAGAAATCAATAAATGCTAAGGTTTTTTTTTTTAAATCAAAAATTTAGAAAATTAAGATTAGGATATTGGAGCTCCTACAAACCTTGTAGATTAGAAATCTCATTTTCCTTATATAATATATAGATAGATTTCTAATATTAATTAAGGAATTAAAGAACAATAATTCTACATGCACTCATTAATATATTAATTAGTGTACCAATATAATTGATATTATCATTTTAAAATTATAACGCCACCTATTATATAAATTATAAAAATTTAAAATTTTTAAAATTATGACATATCATCTATTTACACACGATATAGGAGCATGCAATAAATGTTTGGGCCTATTCCAAATTTGAAAGCGTGACTAGAACGATAGCCCGATTGTAAGCCAATGCTATATATTTGGGCAAAAACAAGTAGTCGATCAACATTCTAGGGTTTTCCTAGCTACATAAATCGAGAAACTCCTTACCCATGGTTCAAGTCAACTCTAAGCAATCTCTCTCTCTCTCTCTCTCTCTCTCTATATATATATATATATGCAAGTTCTACTTGTGAATTGTGATAATTTCTTTTCTTGTCTAATTCAAGAAAAATACTTTTAAAAAAAATTATAAGATTTATTACTTTATATATTTTTTTTAAAGTTCAATTGTTTTTTGTATGGAACTTCTTTTATTTACGTTTTTGTAGAAATGAAAACATTCGATCGAAACACATTCACTCTGTTTCGTTATGATTTTCAAGATTCCCTTTTCAAAAAATTAAATTTTTTTACTTTTCATATTTTTTTTATTGAATTTTTTAATATTTTAAACAATTTTTTTTTATTTATAGATACACCTAATGTAAATACACTTAAAAAGTATAATATTTGTAAAAAAAAATCTTTAAAAAATTCACTAAATACCAAAAATATCCAAAAAATACAAAAATTTAGTATACTTTTCGTATTCTTGTATATTTATTCGTTTTTTAAAATATTTTTTTACTAATATTTTACTTTTTAGATACATCTAAGTGAGGTGCATCTAAAAATAAAAAAATATAAAAAATTGCTTACTAAAAACAAAAAAAAAATACAAAAAACAAAAAAAAAATACAAAAAACAAAAAACAAAAAAACTCAATTTTCAAAAAAATTGAATTCAGAAAATTAAAATCAAACACACTAATTAAAATTTTAAATTTTGAATTTAAGAAGGAAAATAAAAGGGGAAAAAATTCTTTATATGTATTCATTCATTTTATGATTAAAAAAGATCTTTAAAATTTAATGCTTACATAATTTAGTAACGTGTTTTAAGGGGAAAATATCTGTTAGTGTTGTCTTCAAAACTTAATTACAAAATCAAGACAAATATTTATGATTTTGCATATTAATATTTATAAAGAATATCATTCACTTAACAATACTTTTTTACTCATACATTGAGAACAAATAATTTCTCCTCGTTTTAATCCCCTCTACCAACTATATGAGTGTCTAAAATGGGTGTAAAGGTTGTGTGTGCTTATCTTTATTCACATTAGATTGATTGGGCTTTTTTAGATTCACGTTTTCTATTATTTTTATTGCTATTGGTTTTGAACTTGTAATGGCTAGCGTATTGTAAAATTAAAAAGGAAAAAAAAAAAGAATTATTTTTGCATTCATTCTAGATTATTCTTGTAACCAAGCACTTTCATTTACATTTTTTAAGAAATGGATCTTAATTTCGTTGGCTTTGATTGAGCGATCCGACTTTGCCAAAAATCTTTGTTGAAAAAAGAAAAAACAAAAGAAATGGTGAGTCATTACATACATGAAGATGTGATGATTGAGATTCTTGTAAAATTACCAGTCAAATCTTTGTTGCGATTTAAGTGTGCCTCCAAATCTTGGTCCTCTCTCATTACAAATCCCAGTTTCATAGCCAAGCATCTCACTAACAAGAAGGAAAATGGTTGCCTCTTCATTCATAGCATTGAACCCAAAGATACAAATAACTTTCCCAGAAAATATACCTTTGCTGTGTGTCATGACAAATCCCTCACGGTTCCAGTATTTGAATATCTTGGTCTAAAGTTGAATGCAAAAGTGCACGTTATGGGTCCTTGTAACGGCATTTTTTGTCTCTTAACCAATTGGGATTCTGTAGCTCTATGGAACCCAGCGAACAGAGAATCCAGAACTCTTCCGACACAAACATTCCCCAACTCCATTCCTCCGAGAATGGAACTCGAGAGAAATGCTTTTGGGTTCAGGATGGATCCTTTCACTAGTGATTATAAAGTGGTTTCAATTAGGACATACCACTAGGGTTCCGGCATTGATGATGATATTCATCCATCAAGTTACCCTAAACACATTGCTATATATTCATTGCGTGATGATTCTTGGAGAGATTTCAAGGGTTTTTTTTTTCCAGAATGTTTTGTTTTTTTTTCAAGGGCAGTTTGGTCTTTTAATATGGAAATACCTCACCAAAAAGCCAAAAAGCCAAAAAAACCAAAAAGTCTTTCCCAAATCAGACTTTTTAGCCCCAGGCTAAAATAGCTAAAAAGTCAAAAAGTCAACCCACTTTCCAAACGGAGGCTTACATGGATGGAGTTTACTACTGGAGTGTAAGTGACAATAATGATGATGCTACGAAACTCTCATTTCATATGGGCTACGAGGTGTTGTAGGACAATCTTCACTGTATTTAAATAAATTAAATTCTGTTGTGTACTAAACAACAACCAGAATATAAAAAAATAAAAGAAATGAGAGAATTTGTTTGATTACAAAAATCAAACTCGAAATAAAAAATAAATAAATAAAAATAGATTTTATTTTGTTACAAAAACAAAATTAAAATCTGATTTAAATAAATAAAACAGAATAATAAATTAAATAACTTACTTGATTAATTTCTTTAAATAATTATCTGATCAAGTCCAGTGTTTGACACTGTGTCCTTAAGATAGATTCGTCCTCTCCACGGTACTTTCAGAATTTGGACGTCTATCTCCCATGATAAAATGATCTACTACAAAAATAGCAGCACTACAAATTATTTGCCTAACGAGCACACTAAGTGTTTATACTCTCTCTGACAAGAAAATAATGCAGCAAAATGAAGAGGATGTTTGCAGAATTATGAAGGACGAAAAATTAATGTTTAATCCAGATGGGAGGCTAGTCTATTTATAGATGTAATAGTGGCTGTAGGTTTTGAATTGAACAGGTATGAAACCTGTTGGTTTTGAATTCAAACAGATTTGAATCTGTTGGATTACAATTCAAACAGATAACAAAAATGGGAAGGGCCCTGTTTGGGTGTACAGTAAATCCGGTTTAAAAACGGGAAGGGCCCTCTGCCAAACCAGTTTAATTTTGAATTCTGGATTTTATTTTACCAAAAATAAAATTAAATTCAAATGTTTTTGGCCCAAAAAGATTAGTATTGGGCCGAACAAGCCCAACCCAACCTCACACCACGCACCCGCGCCCAAGTCCAGCCCGACTGGACGGACGGACGGACGGCGGCGGCGGCGGCGCGCACGTGTGTGGTGATTTTTTTTTGGGTCTAATGGGTCTAGCCCATAACCTCTCCCTCTAAAACACTTGGGTACCCCTTGGGGCACATCCCAAGTACCAAACCCAAGCCTTATAAACCCATTCAAAACTTCCCACCAAATCAATGTGAGACAAGCCATTTTACAACCTTAAGGAATTTCCACCAAAAGTCCATTTTCATGGAGCACACTTTGGCTTCAATTTCCCATTCACTCGGTAATGGTTTTGAGCAACCAAATATATCACGTGAATCACAACGCGGCATAGAACGCGTTACCACTTTGACCCATGAAAATCAACGCACGGGACCCACCTAAAAATAGACCGAACTTAGAATAAAATTCTGGTTTTACCTAGAATTTATAACCATTTCCAACAGGTGTTTCAAAACATATTGGAGCAGGATGAACCGATGTCATTCAAAGGGATACCAGAGCTAGGTTGCCCTCACCCAGGAACTAATCTTGTCAGACATTATTTTGGAGTCTACAATGGCTCTCTTGCTTGGATATAATGTTATCCCACAAATTACGTGGCACCAAACGTTTTCAACATTTGGGTATTGAAAGAAGAACGTTGAACAAGAGAATTAATAGCAATTCCGCTTGGCTTTTGGAAGAAAGGGGAGTTCCTCATCCAAGGTGAGGACGGGCATTTGTACTTGGTAGACCCTATTACCCTTGAGATGAAGGATCTTCAAACTGTGGCTTCTCAGGCTATTCTTTACCATGAGAGCCTAGTTTCTGTTCAGAGAAGAGACGAAGAATTTGATCATTCATATATTACACTTCGTCTTAAGTTCGATGTTTTCCGTGACTCGTACTGGGATAATCAAATAGATTCTGATGTCACTTATTCTAGCTCCGATGATGATACTTAGGGTGTATTTGGATTTTCAAATTAGGATGTATTTGATTTTTAAATTAGCCAAAGGCAAAAGAAATGAGAATAATAAGAGAACAAACTACTCATTTGAGAACTTTCTTTTTGAATAATTTCTTTTGTTTTCAACATCAAGCATGTTTCGGTTTTGATAATTTCGGTTTCACTAAAATTTTCTTTTTATATCAGTTTAGGTTTGCTTGCTTGAATCAAAATATAGTTCAACCTATATAATAAAGGTAATGTTATGGAAAAAAAAATTATAACCAAACACCACATAGGGTAACACTATAATAAATCAAATCAAAGACCACAAACATATTAAACCAAAGGTATATATGTTACACACTCCAAACAATTTTCCTTTAAAATGTTTAAATTTAAGGGTTTATTTTTTTATTTCTAAGTTACTATAAAACAAATATATATATATATATATTCTTTATCAAAATTTAAATTAATAATATTTTAAAATGAATGCGTCCAACTGATCTCGAACTCATCATTCTACACAATTTAAAGATTAAATAAGTTTAAAATCAATCCAATTATATTTATTTTAAATTTAAAAAAAAAAGGGAATAACACATTAGTGGAAGGCAAAATCAAAATTAGGGAGATGACCCTCAAATATTTTAAATAGCATTCATTTGGAATGTGCGTTAACTTTTTAACTTTTTTATTTTTTTAACCTGGAGCTAAAAAGCTTCATTTGGAATAGGCTTTTTGGTTTTTATGATTTTTTTGAGAGAAAAAATGAAATAATTATGGTTTGGATGTGACATTTTGTCTTATTAGGCTAAAAAGTTTATTTTGTCTTGCTGTAACTAAAATAGCCTCAACCCAACCCAAACCTAAACCTTCATGCCAAACATAGCCTTGGGTGTTGTTTGGGAAGTGGGTTTGGGTGGGTTTGGGACTAAAATAGCCACAAAAAATAAAATAGATTTTTTAGCCTCAATAAGACAAAATATCACATCAAACCCATAATTATTACATTCTTTCTCTCACAAAAAAATTAAAAAAGCCAAACGCCCTTCCCAAACCAAGCTTTTTAGCCCTAGGCTAAAATAGGCAAAAAAAGTCGAAAAATCAAAAAGTAAACCCACTTTCCAAACCAAGCAAGTAGTAAAAGTAGTAAAGGTCCAGGGATTGTTTCTTTTCTTTTTTAGTTAAGGTACGTCACCGTTTTAATTATATTGGAGCCTTGTTTGGGAAGTATGCTATTTTTGTTCGCTATTTAATTTTTTAATTATTTTAGCCTAAATAATTATGTTTGGGAAGATAGTTGATTTTTTTTAATAGTTGATTTGATAGTTGTGAGAGAAAAAATGAAATGATTATGGATTGGATGTGATATTTTGTCTTATTCACTATTTTAACATATTTTGTCTTTTAGTGAGCTATTTCAGGAGTAATTTTATTTTCACACATTAATTACTCTGAGTACACACACTTAATGAGCACATTCTCAATACAAATATTATAAAAATATAAATTCTCAGTACACATCTCTATATTCTAATATTACCTTCATTTTCATTTTTAAAACCTTAAGGCTATGTTTGGTTTCGATTTTTGAATCATTTTTTTTTTTTGAAATTTTTCTGAGAAAAGAATAAATTAATTTGATAAAAATAAGTACCAAAAAATATTTTTAATTTTTTTTGCCCCTAAAAAGATAAAATCATATTAAAATATGAATTTTTATTTATTTTTTTTTAAAACATATTCTAAAATTGAACTAAACAGAGCTTAATTTTTTATTTTTTTTTTTCCATTCTTCTACTTCTCCTTTACTGTTATTGCCGCCAGTCAACCTTGAGTGATTTGCGGTGGTAGATTTGTGAGTGTATGGTTCATGACAGAAAATGATCGCAGGCAGAGAGAGAAAGAAGTGATGGGAGAGGATAGTGGATATGAGCAGTGGCACTGGCGATAGAGGATGATTGTAATGCTTTAGAATTAGGGTTTGGATAGAAGAACAAGTGGGTATTATGGTATTTTTATTCTAACATATATTAATGAAAATTTTGATTAAATGTGTGAACTGAGAAGAATTGGTGTGTGGAAATAGATTTACTCCTATTTTAGGCCAACTCTCTTCTCAAAAAAAATACCAACTTTACCTTTTACTGATACGTATTTGGTCTCTCCCTTCTTCTCTTTCAGATGTACTTTCTCTTCTTTCTTTTTTTTTTTTTCTCTCCCTTGAAGAAATTCAAAGACAACGATGCACCTCTGAAGTACCAACGCATAACCCTAATGACCAGCGTCACAGGTATCATCGGTAGCAACTTTGTTGAGATTCTTCCTCTCTCTAACACCCCCAGTGGCCCTTGAAGAGTCTACGGCGTCTCTCACAGCCCTCGTCGGCTGTAGAACACCAACCACCCGCATCAAATACATCTAGTGTGATATCTCCAACTCCGACGACACCTAAACCAAGCACTTAACCCTCAATGACGTTACTTACCTTTTCTACATCACTTGGACCAATCGATCTTCCGAGAATTATGATGCCAATGGATCTATGTTTCGAAACATTCTCAATTCAATGATCCCAAACGCCCCAAATCTCTAACACATCTGTCTTCAAAAGGGTCAAAATATTACATCAGTCTGTTCAATCTCATCAAAGGAAAATCTCAATTAATGATCCTTTCTTTACTGAAGATCTTCCCCGATTGGCATCTCTAAATTTATACTACACTATCAAAGATATTCTATTCAAAGAGGCTGTGAACAAAAAGGGATTGACGCAGTCTATTCACTTATGTTGTGTTTGGTTACAAGATTTGGGAAGAGATTTGGAAAGGGAAAGGGAAAGGGAAAAGGTGTATGATATTAGGTGAAATGTAGGTACATTTTATATATTTTATTTACATTTCACCTATCTTTTCTTTTTACCTTTCCAATTCCCTTCTCAAATCTCCCAACCAAACACACCACTAGAGAAATTTCAGAATTGCTCAGAGAAAAATTTGAATTTTCAATTTTGTGAGAGAAATTTTAGAATTGCTTAGAAAAATTTTTGAATTTTCAATTTCTGAGAGAAATTTCTCAATTTTCACTTAGAGAAACTTATGAAATTTCAAAAAAATTTACCTAGGGCCAAGGGGTCTGGTTTTATTTTGAGCTTGAGTGCCTCATATCTTTCTTTCTTTCTTCGCTCTCTTTACGACCCCTCAATGTCTCTTTCTTCCTCTCACTCCATCCTTCAATGAAATTTCTCTAACTAAAAGTCAAAAAAAATTCATTGATGGTAGATAGTCAACTTAGTAAAATTTTGTCAATTTTTTTTTGTTTTAGAATTTTATATTCATCATTAATTTTATTTGATAGATCTCAACGAGAACATTTTAAAAATATAAATTTTATTAAAAATGGATATCTAAATCAAAAGTTATAGAATTTTTAAGTTTTGAAATTTTTCAAAAAGTGAAAGGCGTTGAATACTGAAACAATGTGTATCATTTAGTGCTAAAATTGAATAAATAAGGGTATTTTCGTTTGAAAATTGCTCCCCACATTTTCTAGAAGAGTGATTCCACTTACACCACCAATCTAACTCCTTACACCCTCAAATTTTATTTTATTTTTATTTTATATTTTTTAATTTATACAATTCATTTATTACCCTCATCTCTAACATTTCTCATTCTCCTTCTCTTTAAACCCAAAACCTCAAAAAAAAACCCTAACCCTAGTTCTCCCCATCACCTCCACCAGCCTACTACCGACGTTGCCACTCCACCACTACTCTACTTCTCCACCACCTTTCCTCATTTTCCTTCTCTTTCTCTCACTGCATATATACATCTATAGCTTCTCTCTCTTACTGCACCTATTGCAAACTAGCAACAATCACCAATGAGTTACGAGAACGATCTATAAGTCTTCTCTCTCTCTCTCTCTGTCTCTCTCTCTCTCTCTATTTTTAATTCTCTCTTATCTGTAGAAAACCAGCTATAATGCTCTGCTTCGGAGCACCGTCTCCACCGTTGCCTGGCACACGTGCCAATTCTCCGTCCACAACAGTCCGACGGCTCTGTTCACTGGATTCACAGTCCTTCCACACGCTTCAAACAAAAGAGATTGAAACAGTGCTGTATATAGAGATCATAAAATCCTCATCATCAAAATCAAAACGATATACAAATACTTATATATATATATATATATAGAAAGAGGGAGAGAGAAGAAATTACCAGGTCATTGGATTCGGATGCAAAGTCGAAGAGGATTGTCTGTGAGATGAGACAGAGGAAGAAGTTACTAGGGTTAGGGTTTGGGTTTTTAAGGTTTTGGGTGTAAAGAGAAGGAGAGAAAGAGTAAGGTTGGAGATCAGGTAATAAAAGAATTGTATAAATTATAAATATATAAAATAAAAAATAAATAAAATTTGAGGGTGTAAGAAGTTAGATTGGTGGTGTAAGTAGAATTATTCTTTCTAGAAACCTTAGCTACTACTATAATATTTGTTTTCTTTTATCTTGTAAAATTTTAATATCAAAATCTTAAACTTAAAAGTCCAAAAAAAATACAAATTCATAAAAATATTTACAAATTTAATTATTAATATTTATAAAAAAATTACTAAATTGTAATTACTTTTTAAAATATCCACTAATGTAATATTTTCCTTTTAACAATAACAGCAATCCAACTGGACCGGCTTAACGGGTGAGCCTTCAGGCCATGCCGACCCCTCACACGATGGCCTAATTTAAGAATTACAAACACACTCCTTGAGATTTATTTAAATTATAAATTACTTCTTGTGGTTGTAAAAATTACATTATACCCCTAAGGTTTCTAATTTCATAACAAATAGGTCATTTTATTAATAAATCGTCAAGTTAATTAACAATTTTTAATAATGTTCAAATTTTATTTTAATTAATAATTCAGATAATTTTATTATTGTATAGGTAAAAAGTTAGAAATTTCAGTTTTTCAATTAATTCTGTTAAATAAAAAATTCTAGCAAGAAGA